GTAAGTGAGTGCTGCGCTTTTCGGATTAGTTGGAAATGAGATACGAACGTCTTGTGCATTGGTTATAAGTGAAAGTTTTAAGTTTGGGAAAGGAAGTGTTGGATTATAAGGTAAAAACATCAATGTGAAGTGGAGATGATGTGTACCTGGTGTGGTTGTGGCCGTGTTTTAGGAGGACGAGTGGTACACGGAAGGTCCTCCCGCTGTGTTTTACACGTGAAGAAGCTCTCAGTGAAGTGTTCACTCATAGGAGGAGGAGGAGCCACGCTGGCTCCGACAGTGGACCAACAGTGGATACAGTTGCTGACCACTCTTTTTCAAAGTGGTTGTTTTTGTTAAAGGTGTTGACCCGGGCGTGCGACCAGGCCAGGTACACTGGCGTGCGACCAGGCCAGGTACACTGGCGTGCGACCAGGCCAGGTACACTGGCGTGCGACCAGGCCAGGTACACTGGCGTGCGACCAGGCCAGGTACACTGGCGTGCGACCAGGCCAGGTAGAGTTGCGTGCGACCAGGCCAGGTAGAGTTGCGTGCGACCAGGCCAGGTAGAGTTGCGTGCGACCAGGCCAGGTAGAGTTGCGTGCGACCAGGCCAGGTAGAGTTGCGTGCGACCAGGCCAGGTAGAGTTGCGTGCGACCAGGCCAGGTAGAGTTGCGTGCGACCAGGCCAGGTAGAGTTGCGTGCGACCAGGCCAGGTAGAGTTGCGTGCGACCAGGCCAGGTAGAGTTGCGTGCGACCAGGCCAGGTAGAGTTGCGTGCGACCAGGCCAGGTACACTGGCGTGCGACCAGGCCAGGTACACTGGCGTGCGACCAGGCCAGGTACACTGGCGTGCGACCAGGCCAGGTACACTGGCGTGCGACCAGGCCAGGTACACTGGCGTGCGACCAGGCCAGGTACACTGGCGTGCGACCAGGCCAGGTACACTGGCGTGCGACCAGGCCAGGTACACTGGCGTGCGACCAGGCCAGGTACACTGGCGTGCGACCAGGCCAGGTCCACTGGCGTGCGACCAGGCCAGGTCCACTGGCGTGCGACCAGGCCAGGTCCACTGGCGTGCGACCAGGCCAGGTCCACTGGCGAGCGACCAGGCCAGGTCCACTGGCGTGCGACCAGGCCAGGTACACTGGCGTGCGACCAGGCCAGGTACACTGGCGTGCGACCAGGCCAGTTATACTGTCGTGCGACCAGGCCAGGTACACTGTCGTGCGACCAGGCCAGGTACACTGTCGTGCGAAAAGGCCAGTTACACTGTCGTGCGACCAGGCCAGTTACAGTCGTGCGACCAGGTCAGTTACACTGTCGAGCGACGAGGCCAGTTACACTGTCGTGCGACCAGGCCAGGTACACTGGCGTGCGACCAGGCCAGTTACACTGTCGTGCGACCAGGCCAGTTACACTGTCGTGCGACCAGGTCAGGTACACTGTCGTGCGACCAGGCCAGTTACACTGTCGTGCGACCAGGCCAGTTACACTGTCGTGTGACCAGGCCAGGTACACTGGCGTGCTACCAGGCCAGTTACACTGTCGTGCGACCAGGCCACGTACACTGTCGTGCGACCAGGCCAGGTACACTGTCGTGCGACCAGGCCAGGTACACTGTCGTGCGACCAGGCCAGGTACACTGTCGTGCGACCAGGCCAGGTACACTGTCGTGCGACCAGGCCAGTTACACTGTCGTGCGACCAGGCCAGTTACACTGTCGTGCGACCAGGCCAGTTACACTCGTGCGACCAGGCCAGGTACACTGGCGTGCGACCAGGCCAGGTACACTGGCGTGCGACCAGGCCAGGTACACTGGCGTGCGACCAGGCCAGTTACACTCGTGCGACCAGGCCAGGTACACTGGCGTGCGACCAGGCCAGTTACACTCGTGCGACCAGGCCAGTTACACTGTCGTGCGACCAGGCCAGGTACACTGGCGTGCGACCAGGCCAGTTACACTCGTGCGACCAGGCCAGGTACACTGGCGTGCGACCAGGCCAGGTACACTGGCGTGCGACCAGGCCAGGTAGAGTGGCATGCTACCTGGCCAGGTACACTGGCGTGCGACCAGGCCAGGTACAGTAGCGTGCGATTAGGCCAGGTACAGTGGCGTGCGACCAGGCCAGGTACAGTGGCGTGCGACCAGGCCAGGTACAGTGGCGTGCGACCAGGCCAGGTAGTGGCGTGCGACCAGGCCAGGTAGAGTGGCGTGCGACCAGGCCAGGTAGAGTGGCGTGCGACCAGGCCAGGTAGAGTGGCGTGCGACCAGGCCAGGTAGAGTGGCGTGCGACCAGGCCAGGTAGAGTGGCGTGCGACCAGGCCAGGTAGAGTGGCGTGCGACCAGGCCAGGTAGAGTGGCGTGCGACCAGGCCAGGTAGAGTGGCGTGCGACCAGGCCAGGTAGAGTGGCGTGCGACCAGGCCAGGTAGAGTGGCGTGCGACCAGGCCAGGTAGAGTGGCGTGCGACCAGGCCAGGTAGAGTGGCGTGCGACCAGGCCAGGTAGAGTGGCGTGCGACCAGGCCAGGTAGAGTGGCGTGCGACCAGACCAGGTAAGAGTGGCGTGCGACCAGGCCAGGTAGAGTGTCGTGCGATTAGGCCAGGTAGTGGCGTGCGACCAGGTCAGGTAGAGTGGCGTGCGACCAGGCCTGGTACACTGTCGTGCGACCAGGCCAGTTACACTGTCGTGCGACCAGGCCAGTTACACTGTCGTGCGACCAGGCCAGTTACACTGTCGTGCGACCAGGCCAGTTACACTGTCGTGCGACCAGGCCAGTTACACTGTCGTGCGACCAGGCCAGGTACACTGTCGTGCGACCAGGCCAGGTACACTGTCGTGCGACCAGGTCAGGTACACTGTCGTGCGACCAGGTCAGTTACACTGTCGTGCGACCAGGCTACAGTCGTGCGACCAGGCCAGATACACTGTCGTGCGACCAGGCCACATACACTTGCGTGCGACCAGGCCAGTTACACTGTCGGGCGACCAGGCCAGTTACACTGTCGTGCGACCAGGTCAGGTACACTGTCGTGCGACCAGGCCAGTTACACTGTCGTGCGACCAGGCCAGTTACACTGTCGTGTGACCAGGCCAGGTACACTGGCGTGCTACCAGGCCAGTTACACTGTCGTGCGACCAGGCCATGTACACTGTCGTGCGACCAGGCCAGGTACACTGTCGTGCGACCAGGCCAGGTACACTGTCGTGCGACCAGGCCAGGTACACTGTCGTGCGACCAGGCCAGGTACACTGTCGTGCGACCAGGTCAGGTACACTGTCGTGCGACCAGGTCAGTTACACTGTCGTGCGACCAGGCTACAGTCGTGCGACCAGGCCAGATACACTGTCGTGCGACCAGGCCACATACACTTGCGTGCGACCAGGCCAGTTACACTGTCGTGCGACCAGGCCAGTTACACTGTCGTGCGACCAGGTCAGGTACACTGTCGTGCGACCAGGCCAGTTACACTGTCGTGCGACCAGGCCAGTTACACTGTCGTGAGACCAGGCCAGGTACACTGGCGTGCTACCAGGCCAGTTACACTGTCGTGCGACCAGGCCAGGTACACTGTCGTGCGACCAGGCCAGGTACACTGTCGTGCGACCAGGCCAGGTACACTGTCGTGCGACCAGGCCAGGTACACTGTCGTGCGACCAGGCCAGGTACACTGTCGTGCGACCAGACCAGTTACACTGGCGTGCGACCAGGCCAGGTACACTGGCGTGCGACCAGGCCAGGTACACTGGCGTGCGACCAGGCCAGGTACACTGGCGTGCGACCAGACCAGTTACACTGGCGTGCGACCAGGCCAGGTACACTGGCGTGCGACCTGGCCAGGTACACTGGCGTGCGACCAGGCCAGTTACACTGGCGTGCGATCAGGCCAGGTAGAGTGGCGTGCGACCAGGCCAGTTACACTGGCGTGCGACCAGGCCAGGTAGAGTGGCGTGCGACCAGGCCAGTTACACTGGCGTGCGACCAGGCCAGGTACACTGGCGTGCGACCAGGCCAGGTAGAGTGGCGTGCGACCAGGCCAGGTAGAGTGGCGTGCGACCAGGCCAGGTAGAGTGGCGTGCGACCAGGCCAGGTAGAGTGGCGTGCGACCAGGCCAGTTACACTGGCGTGCGACCAGGCCAGGTAGAGTGGCGTGCGACCAGGCCAGGTAGAGTGGCGTGCGACCAGACCAGGTAAGAGTGGCGTGCGACCAGGCCAGGTACAGTCGTGCGACCAGGCCAGGTAGAGTGGCGTGCGACCAGGCCAGGTAGAGTGGCGTGCGACCAGGCCAGGTACACTGGCGTGCGACCAGGCCAGTTACACTGTCGTACCAGGCCAGTTACACTGTCGTGCGACCAGGCCAGTTACACTGTCGTGCGACCAGGCCAGTTACACTGGCGTGCGACCAGGCCAGTTACACTGTCGTGCGACCAGGCCAGGTACACTGTCGTGCGACCAGGCCAGGTACACTGTCGTGCGACCAGGTCAGGTACACTGGCGTGCGACCAGGCCAGTTACACTGTCGTGCGACCAGGCTACAGTCGTGCGACCAGGCCAGATACACTGTCGTGCGACCAGGCCACATACACTTGCGTGCGACCAGGCCAGTTACACTGTCGGGCGACCAGGCCAGTTACACTGTCGTGCGACCAGGTCAGGTACACTGTCGTGCGACCAGGCCAGTTACACTGTCGTGCGACCAGGCCAGTTACACTGTCGTGTGACCAGGCCAGGTACACTGGCGTGCTACCAGGCCAGTTACACTGTCGTGCGACCAGGCCATGTACACTGTCGTGCGACCAGGCCAGGTACACTGTCGTGCGACCAGGCCAGGTACACTGTCGTGCGACCAGGCCAGGTACACTGTCGTGCGACCAGGCCAGGTACACTGTCGTGCGACCAGGTCAGGTACACTGTCGTGCGACCAGGTCAGTTACACTGTCGTGCGACCAGGCTACAGTCGTGCGACCAGGCCAGATACACTGTCGTGCGACCAGGCCACATACACTTGCGTGCGACCAGG